TGTACTACATGAGGTGACGACACTTTTTGCGTTCATCCATTCACATGTTTTTGGACCACTACTTGCCGTGTTGCGAGCTTAACCTTTTTTTTTTACACAACAGCAGTGTACTTCAAAACAAAGTGGTAATTTTCCAGTTTAGAAAACTTTTACATGCCGATGCCGACTTAGTCATATTTGTGGATTGTTTGGAAAAATGATGTATATTGTGTTCTAGGCATGTAGTTGGCAGTGTCATTTTATAATGAAACCCTATGCACCTGTACATATATGCTCCTGTAGTCTGTCATTGTGAGTACTTGTGCATGTTATTTTATTTTTTTAATGTACATGAAGATGTCTGTATTATTTTTGGCAAACTTAAACTTCAAAGTTTTCCACAACTTTTCCACCAAATCTTCAAAAAAATTCCAGGTTTTCCAATTAAAATGGATGTGTAAATGCCTTCAAAACCTCAGAAAAAGTTTCAAGATGGCCTTTTACTGAATATTTAAACATCAGAATTATTCTAAACACTCATATAATATAGCTGAAATAGACCATTTCAATGTGGTCATGTCATTGGCCCATGAACATGTCCTGCTTGTTATCAAACTACTTCATAACTGTAACTAGAGGCAATTCAATCATAACCTAATGTTAAAACTGCTATCATAACATTCTTTATCAATATGTGGCTCTTTTGGTATTCTCAGAATCTATGGAATTAAAAAATGTCAAATTGTTTTTGTTAACACCCCTCAATTTTCTAGAAGTGGTTTATTTATTTAAACTGTTTATTAAGCAGACTGTTCAAAGTCAGTCATTTTGTGTGAACCATTTCCCATACAACTTATCTTTTTTTTTTGCAAAGCACATTTTAAATATTTGAATGTCTTTTGGCTGAGAAATTGTATGTTTTTTTTTAGTTTGTGTCATAGTCTATATATAGACATGTAGACACCCATACTTGCATCACTCTTTAGTGTGCGATATTACAGGGTATATGTGGGGCATGAAATTTTGGCTTCCAGTATGCATATGTGAACTGCTTATGACCTCCAGTGTTATTGAGAAAAGTGTTACTATAGGTTCATGTGAACCAAAACAATCCAGTGCTCGCCATGTAAGTGGATGGTGAGATTTTAGACCCTGCTATCTATTGGTTGTTGCACAGATAGAAGCCACCTTCCTCTCTTGGCTGTGTTTTTCCATTGTTGCACACTAGTCTAGTAACCATGACCCAGTTTCCACTCCCTCTAGTGCGCACGTGATCAAGATGTGGGTAATTTGGAAATCACAGATTAGAGGAGCAAAAGGGTGAATCGAGAAGCAAGAAATAAGCATGCTGGGAAATTGGCTGTATATATCCCAGCAATGTGGTTTGTCTTAAATCACTGAAATACTGTTCACACACACTACAGTTTGAAGTGAACCTCATTCACATCAGAGTCAGATTATTTATGGTTAATTTCATGTTTCAAAAACGTTAATCTGATCTCAGGCCATACGTTTTCATTTTGATAGTCATGTGATGTTTGCCTCTTCTTACACACTTGATTTGAATCATGTATCATTTATTTATAACAAGCTGCGTATGACAGCTGTTTGAGTAATGAATGTTTGATGGGGGTGTGTTTCACAAACAGTAAAGTGCTCGAATTGCACATGTTTGTTGCAGTGGTGTTTTGGTACAACATTAAACCTTTACAAAGGTCATCATTATCCTCTTACCTATTCACGTTCCCGGGTTTTTAAGAGTAAATGTCATTTATAAAGGTCATATGAGGCCATGGCAAATATTATTAAAGCTTTGTCTTTTGCTCCAACACCAAAGCTTAAAATAAAAATCTACAGCAAGTACTTAAATAGGCCTGTCACGATATCTATTTTTGTTGTACGAGAAATCGCAGCAAAATATATTGCGATAATTGATATTAATGGTATTTTAGGAGCATTTATGCCACTCATTATATAATGCTAGAATGTTAGAAATATTTAATTATAGTCATTTTAGCAATTTAATAATTAGGCGTTGGAATCGGAATGTGAAAATGCATATCCTACATAAAATAATAAATGTTAACAAAAAAGTGCAAAGTAAAAAGTAACTGAAGCTGCGATATCTGCTACTAGATCTATTTTCAGTTGTCAGACAGCCACATTAAATCATACTAAAGTAATTTACAGTAAATACTATAGTGTTTTTTTAACCCTACTGACATTGACACCTTCAATAGAAAGAGGTGTTGCACAATCCGCTAAAATGTTGCTAGAATTGGTCTATGTATGGTTGATGTATATTGCATCACCAAAAACGATTGAGGTCTGGTCCATGCGTTGTTTATGTGGATGTAATAAATATTGTGACAGGCCTAGAACTAAATAAGGTGCATGAATTACAGCATTTAGAAGACAACACCTGCTGTACATGTGCACCTGTGTATGTGGCGGTCCAGTTTTCCCTCATTTGGAAGTTGATTAAAGATTAAACAATGCAGTGGATTCTCAGGCCACTGGATAATTAATCCAGGAAATATGATTTAGTAATAAATTTAGGCAGATTTTCTAAAGTAATTTATCAATATTGAATGTTAAGTTTACTCTGTTGGTACTTTTTGCTGGCTTAGGTTTGTAATGGATACTAAAACCAACAGTATTTGGCAGCAGGTCTGTCTTACTGAGTGATTTGTTTAATCATTCATTCATTCATGCGGATGCTTTATTTATTTATATATATATATATATATATATATATATATATATATATATATATATATATATATATATATATATATATATATATATATATATATATATATTATTATTATTATTATTATTATTATTATTATTATTACTATTACTATTACTATTTTTATTTAAATGCAGTTTAATTTGGAAACCAATTAATTGAGGCTCAATTTCTATTGGTATCTTAAATCCTTGCACACTCCCTCCAAGTCTACATTTTTGCAAATTAAGGCAGCACTATGCAAGTTTTTGACCTTAAGATATTGTTTCTAAAGTTAATATCAGTGGTAGAATAACTTTAACTAATGAATTTTGTTGCTGTGGTTACCAGATCTGCCTCCTTCACCTGAAATCTTCTTCGCAAATATTATTACTCATCCCTTTTGTTAGTTATATGTGGACTAATACACTCATTGGTCACTTGATTAGGTAAACCTTACTAGTACTGGGTTGGTAAACCGCTTTAATCCTTCATGGCAGATTCAACAAGGTACTGGAAAAATTCTCAGAGATTTTTGGTTAATATTGACATGATGACATCACGTAGTTGCTGCAGATTTGTCGGCTGCACATCCATGATGTTAATCTCCCATTCCACTACTTCCCTAAGGTGCACTAATGGATCGAGATCTGGTGACTGTGGAGGCCATCTGAGTACTGTCACCTCACTGGTTTTCTTTAACATGACAATCTGAAATGATTTGCACTTTGACATATCATGTTATCCTGCTGGAAGTAGCCATCAGAAGATGAGTACACTGTGGTCATAAAGTGATGGACAGGGTCGGCAACAATACTCCAGGTAGGAGTATTGTTTGGCCTTGAAACAGTGCTCAATTGGTACTAATGGGCCCAAAGTGTGCCAAGAAAATATCCCCCACAACATTTCACTACCACCAACACCAGCCTGAAATGTAGGATATAAGGCAGGATGGATCCATGCTTTCATGTTGTTGATGCCAAATTCTGACCCTACCATCCGAAAGTCGCAGCAGAAATCGAGACTCATCAGACCAGGCAGCATTTTTCAAGTCTTCTATTGTCCAATTTTAAGCCTGTGCCAATTGTAGCCTCCGTTTTCTGTTCTTAGCTGACAGGAGTGGCTCCCGGTGTGGTCTTCTGCTGCTGTAGCCCATCCACCTCAAGGTTGGATGTGCTGTGCATTCAGAGATGATCTTCTACATACCTCGGTTGTTACGAGTGGTTATTTGAGTTGCCTTTCTATCAGCTGGAACCAGTCAGTAACCTATATCTCCTCTGACCTTTGGCATCAACAAGACATTTGCGCCCACAGAACTGTCGCTAATTGGATATTTTCTTTTTTTTTTTTTCAAACCATTCTCTGTAAACCCTAGAGATGGTTGTGCGTAAAAATTCCAGTAGATCAGCAGTTTGTAAAATACTCAGACCAGCTGTCTGGCACCAACAATCATGCCACATTCAAAGTCACTTAAAGCACTGTTCTTCCCCATGCTGATGCTCTGTTTAAACTGCAGCAGGTCATCTTGACCATATCTACATGCCTAAATATATTATGTTGCTGCCATGTGTTTGCCTGATTAGAAATTTGTGTTAACGAGCTGTAGGACAGGTGTACCTAAAAAAGTGGCCGTTGAGTGTATATTTGCCAATATGTTTCAATTAATGGAAATCACCGTGAACTGCATGTAAAATCATCACTACTGTGTCCGTGAGAAAATAAGATCACCATTGCACATTAGCTACACTATTGACGAGTACTGTCCTTGTTTACGTTGTTCTTTTTCAAATCTCCTTCTCGATTTGTGAAATACTAATGAGATAACAGAATCCAGAAGTTCTTAAACTTTTTATTTTTCATATTGGTTTGATACATTTTAAATGTAAATTTATTTTCAGGTATAAAATATGAAATGATTTTTAAATAGTTAATAATCCATGAATGAGTCTAAATTTCGTTTCAACAGTGCTATTCATATTTAGTACAATATCTTGTGTATGTGTGTATACTGCAAATTGATGGCCAATGTCAGCAACTGATAGTCTGTACATTTATTTATACCTATACATCTAGTATCTTGTCTACAGCCTAAAAATACCCTAAACACTTCAGGAATTACAAAAATGCTCTTGTATTGTGGCAGCAATTTTGTTGGGTTGACAAGTGTGACAGTTTTCAGAAAGTGTAAAACTCGCTTAATTTGGTGAAAAAAAAACTGTTCTCAGAGCAAATGTATGAGCATAGTGTTGTTTTGTGCTTTCTGAAAGAAGCTTTTGTTGTGTTGTGACAGGCAGTGAACTGTAAGGGCCAGCACAGCATCTCCTACACGCTGTCCAGAAACCAGACGGTGGTGGTGGAGTACAGCCATGACAAAGACACGGACATGTTCCAGGTACTGTTCTGCAAAAGCAAAAAAAAAAAATCACTTTGAAGTGTCTCTTCTCCTCCTCACTATCTGCCTGTTTACTGAAGAAAGGCAATACTATAATGAAAAAGCAACCACCACAGCCAGTCAAGGTCTGAGATGACAATACATGTAATGGATTTGGCTCTAAATTTGCCAAATTTTAGACTGATATGTTAAAAATAGTCCTGGGAACCGTATTAAATAAGTTGATGTGATCTGCAAAAAGACTTTAAATAGGACTTTTGCACATACTTTGTTTACTATACACATGCTCTATTATATGTGACGCTCTTGCTGCTTTTGGCATCTGCCATTACGCTATATGAAATGTGATCCTACCCATAATCCAATATACACAGATGGATCAAAAAAGGACAGTGATGTTTCTGCAGCAATAGTAATGGGTTAATCACACTACGGCATTGGCATTCCCGATCAAAGCTCAATTTTTAAAGCAGAAGCAAAAAGGCTATTATTATCTTTGTTCTAGAACACAATGAAAATGCTGAAGGACACAATTTTATTATCTTTTCTGATTCTAAATCTTGTCTACAGACATTGAATTCTTTTAAACTGGAGCATCCCATTACCATTGACATTTTTATCAAAGTAAATGAATTACACAAAGTTTTATAATATAGTCTTCTGCTGGATCCCCGGACATACCGGACTACTTGGGAATGAACAAGCTGACAAAGCCACCAAAACAGCCCTAGCAGGAAAGCTGAAGGACTGTAAAATCCCACCTTCAGATCTAAAGCCACCAATAAAAGGCTACATTCTCATCAAATGGCAAACAGAATGGGATCAGTGCCCAGAAAATAAACTTTTTGAAATTCAGCCAGAAATAGGAAAAGAAAATCTAATTTATTTTTTAAGTAAAGACACAACGAGATTGTTTATAGAAGATGCCGCATTGGACACACGAGACTCACGCATGAACATTTACTTAAAGGAGAAGAACCACCAAAATGTCTATATTGTAACGGAAACCAAACTGTTAAACATGTTCTTGTGGAATGTCCCAATTTTAATGTTATCAGACAACAGTTTTTATCTGGAGAGACTTTAAAGGAAATATTCTTAAATGTGAATCCATCTAAAATTGTACAATTTTCATCAAAAGGAATTAAAACTGTTTTAGATTTTAAAAAAATCTTAAACTGTTTTAGATTTGTATCATTATGGAAGATAAATATACATATTATTACAGAATATATCATTATTATTATTATTATGTATTTTACCTTGGACATTATTTATTTATTTTAATTGTAAGAATAGTTTTTTAATAATAGAAAATTGGTATTTATAAAACTTGATAAACTTGATCTATTTTCTTTTTGCCATGACATGGCAATAAAATTAAAACTCTCTCTCTCTATGAAATGGGAACTTTATATTATGAGGTGCTCTGAAAGTCACTATAGGTGGAATTAAAGTCTCAATTTGTGGATGTTGAGAAATGGGCTCCAAGGAAAAAGGTTGGGAACCACTGTGCTAGAACGGAGTGAGGTTTACCTGCATAGCACTTAACTACCTGTCCGCCATTACACTCACTCCTATCCCGGACGAGCCCCCACGTGAAATCCTCTGGTCCAACTGCACCCAACAGACTCTGAACTGGGATCGAACCGGCCATTCTTTGTATGGTGTTCGGTTGCTATAACAAGGGGGCTGAAGACCATGGCCTCTATATGTCGCTGGAGTCCCTTTAGAGGTCAAAGTAGTAAGGTTTACCCTCACAACACTTCACTAGCTGCCTTCTGTTACACTTATGCACTGTGTAGATATACATACAGAGAGTCGTATGTTGTCTTTATTTATTTATTTAAATAATCAGGAGATGAAGTCTAAACCCATATCATTAAATGTATATATAAATATTATTACTTGGTTGTTAAACTAAAAAGGCTTGTAATTGATTGTGGATAAAATAATTATTCTGCATTTAAAACCAGAAGATTTTTTTTTCTTTTGATAAGTATTTTACAAAATACAGCCCTTTTTAATTAATAGCAACAGAAACTGGAGTTTCTTTATTGCGTCAGATGTCAATTTTGTTCTCAGTTGATTTGTTGAATGTCGGTTTGTGATCTCCAATCCAGAACATAAAAGCAGCCCTGGAGCAGTTTAGCTATGCAGCATAGAATACCATCGCAACAAATAACGATTAAAGCTGAGCTTTCTTACTGGTACCGAAAATCCAGGATTGGTGCAAACCAAAACTTAGCTGACTTGCCAGCTAATTCAGCTTCATTGTACAAGCCCCAGGTCTGCACATGATGGAAAGAGTCATGCAGATGGGAAATGAGCAAATGAGAAGAAAAGCAAAAACAGGAACCAGCAGCAGTAGCCCACAAGGACAAAACAGAAACTCTCTCTATAAAAAGGAAATAAAGTGGAGAGCGTTGCGTCTTTTATTTCAGTACATGTATTTATAAACAGGATTTAGTGCAACGAGCACCTCTCTATTCTTGGGAATTTCCATCCCACATTTAAAACCAAAATAAGCTCTTCAAACAAGTACCAGCACATGCAGAACTATTTTCCATCCTGTTTACTCTTGAGGCTAAACGGTGTAGGGACCGTAATTGTCACTTGACTCAAACCACATACAATAGTTTGCTCATTTAAGAATTTGTTTTTGCTCCTCAGATTCCTGATATACCAAGATATGGATTGTTTTTAATTGATTATTTGATTCCAGTATAGGGTTCGGTGTTAAGTTTTTAAGTGAGATTGTATTACTGAACAATACAAATTAGATACAAAAACATTAACAAAAAATTGACAGTTACAGTGCTTTTAACAGCAGTCTACAAACCGGTTTCAAATGGTTAAATCTTTAGCATAAATATGAAATTTTTTTTGCCTTTTCTGCTAATAAACAACACATTGACTTGTTTTTATTGCATCATAAGGGTTTTGTCACAAAACTTATGATTATTTACAGTAGTGTTGCTGACGTCCATGATTCCACTAAACATTGCCATCTTCAGCAATGTTTATGTTGGTTTGTCATTGTTTTTTTTTGGACAGTGAATCAAAAAACAGCCTGATTCAGTTCTGACATCTTGTAGACCAGCTAAGTTTTGTAAAAACAGTTGAATGCACATTTGCGAACTCGTACATTGGTAACGTAGTGCGATAATTTAAGACTCCGCAAATAAAGCAAGCAGGTTCACAATAAAAATACAAGTTATAATACTTAAGGTTGCTGATTAAAAAGGAAACCAGTTGGCTTCATATAAAGAAACGTATCATTGATGCTTCCCTTGCCTTCAATTCCTTGGTGCCTCATTTCAGTGCCACTTAGATGCCCGTTGACTAAAATCTAAATTCTGATTTGGTCCAGTGCATATTGATCATATGTACTGCTGCCAATGTTTCTCGTGCAAGTTCTAAAGTGATGGTAAAGTGACAGCTTTATTGTGCTATTCATTAAATGGGCAAAGTGTTAATGTGTATGTGTGTATATTTTTTCAAATTTAAATGTACCATCACAGCAGTGCTTATGAATTTATTTTAAATGAATTCCAATGAAAACGGCTATTTTGGTGCATTTGTGTTAAATGCAGCCCGGGTTAGATTTCAAAAGACTTTATTTCAAATTTTATTGATCATTAACTTTTAAACTGTATTGTGCAATATATACTTGTTTTTACTTCTACCACTAATATTACTGTATACAGAGTACCCACGCTAAGCCAAATGTCATGACTTTTACTGACTAAAATGATGTATTTTCATGACCTAATAGCACTTGAGCAGATTAAGAAAAATGTATCTTTAATCACGTTCTCATGTCACTTTTGTTAAGGATACAGTGCTAAAGCCCAAACAAAGATAGACTGGAAGTTCAAATGAATTAATGAAGTATTTTTTTTCAATTAATAACAAAAATCCCTGGCAGTCAAATTACCTGAAAAAGAATAAAAAATTCAGAAATTCCAGATAGCCCATGATCTGTGGTAACCCTGTGTTTATTAAAAAATGTTTCCCATCTGAGTCATGCAGTCACAGCAAGCTGTCTGTATGACAATATAAGATGTATCTGAGAATCTTTGAACTTGTCTGTTGTATCTTAGATCGGCCGATCGACGGAGGGCCCGATTGACTTTGTGGTGACTGACACTGTGTCAGGGGGAGGAGAGAGTGAGGAGACACCCATCACTCAAAGCACCATCTCCCGCTTCGCCTGCCGGGTGGTGTGTGAGCGTAACCCACCCTACACCGCACGAATCTTCGCTGCAGGCTTCGATTCTTCCAAGAATATATTTCTCGGAGTAAGTGCGGTTTTTATGCCTGGTCCTGAAATGGAATTGTCTGAGATGCATTACTAGATACTTTATCAAGCTATTATTTATAAATATATACTGCTGTCTGGGGAGTAATATACGTGTGCATGAGCTGTCTGGGGAAGTATCCACTTCTGCTGATCCTGTGGAACTGATCTAAACTTACCTGGTAAATATAGGTGTGTCTGGCTAACTGGAATGACTCGCCCATGTGTACCTAAAAACAAAGTGCGGTGCACATATTTTTGTTTATGTACAGTAATTAAATCTCTCTGCAGGAAAAAGCAGCCAAATGGAAGAATCCAGATGGTCACATGGACGGTTTGACTACCAATGGGGTGCTAGTCATGCACCCGCGGGGCGGGTTCACAGAGGAATCCAAGCCTGGTGTGTGGAGGGAGATATCAGTGTGTGGAGATGTTTACACACTGAGAGAAACACGCTCTGCTCAAACTCGAGGAAAATTGGTTAGTATGTGAGCGGTGTCTGTTCAGTGTAGTTTACCGCCTGTTTTCTCCAAGTAGGACATGTTCCTGGATTAACATCTATGTTGATCCTGGAACAACATTCGAATCAGCCAATCAGAATTAAGGGATACATTTACAGTTTAAGTTTAAGCTTGCGGTTTGGTTTTTGCACTTCTGCTTGATTGTTATACAACTATTATTCCGCTCAGATTTTGGGAATCATTTAGAATTATGGTCGGGTTTAGGAGTAAGGACTAAGTATGGATAACATTTTTGATCAAAAATGATGTTCCAGGATCAACATAGATGTAAATCCAGGATCTCGTCGTACTTGGCAAAATCAGAGAAAGGTCTGGCTGCAGACTTGGTGCAGATGCAACCTGAGCTGCATCCAATGCTTTTTAATGTGCTCGCCTAACCCCTAACCCTACTCCCTTACAGTGATGTCACTAGCTCCATTTAGTGCATTGTTTCTCACATTGCATCTCTGAGCGATGCAGTCTCAGCTTGCATCATAAAGGCTGCGTCCAGATACTATTGCAAAATCATGACATGCATAGTTCACAGTGCGCTACATTTACGCAGACTCAAATACATATGTAGTTAGATTGATGGTTCAATCAGATTAAAAAAAATCTTCATGTAAACACCTTAACTAGTCAGACTGAGCTTGATCTGAATGACATTTTGATCCGAATGGAGAGGGTGGTTAATTTTTTTTTTTACTGACCCAATTCAACAACAAAAAATGACTGTGTCAATGCTTGAATCTGACTACTTTTGAGGGCAGTGCGATATTGACATGCATTAGCCTTCGCATAATTTGATAAATGTCTCCTCTTCAGAAATATGATAGTGTGGAGTCTGAAGGCCAAATGGTTGACTGCCCAGAAAAATTGCAATGAGTGTATTATTATTCTTATTATTATAAAGCATGTGAAACCACTGCCTGTATATTTGCATTAGACTTCGTAATGAAACATTCTGATTTAGAATGCGCTGTAATAATAATGTTTAAAGTAGCTCTATAATTAAAACAAAACAAAACATACAAATTGTATTATTTCTAATATCGTAGTATATTTTATTAAGGATACTGTTATCAGTATTGCATTGTCAACTAAATTTAACGAAAGGCAAGTCTATTAAACTAGTTTCTTTTGTCGTTTTATAATGTGCATAAACTAACAAACAAACACCTGTAGTTGGAATGTACTTTCAAAATTTAAAACTAGTATTTTGATTTTCAGATACAATAGCCTGCCTAAATATAAATAAAACTATATACTTTATTTACATTGTGCCAAAGTTTTCATTGGAATGAATGCATGTAAAATGAACATAAACAGAATTTTGAATTAAATACAATGTTTAGAGTACATATAAACAAATGTGAAATCAGATTCAGTTCATTCAGTTTGATGTAAATTAGTGCATGTAAACATAACTAATTTCTCAGTCAGTCATCGGTTTGCTCACTGCTATTTTACAGTGGTAAAATGTCCTAATTCACAGCTGCAGAAACTGTCTAGACAAAATCATCTGAAACTTTTATTAGGATCCGGGGTCTAATCCATGTGCAGGGAGTTCTCATTCAGGTTGTGGGATGCTACTTGTTGTATCAGTGAAGATTCGGGTAGTTTAGAGTGTACTAGTTCAAATCATGGTAAGGAAGATCCCTAAAATGAAGATTAAAGATGTTCCTCCTAACCTCATGTCTGGAATATAGTGCTCTAGTCTGCAAGTTCTTTCACATGATATCTTGCTCAAATAAGGGGCTTTGTTTTGCTCTGTTTAGTTTGGAAAGTCATGGTTTTCTTTGTACAGTGCATGATATATTGTGTAGATGTATCATAAGCAGTCAATTGAGCACCTTGTTTGAGTCTCTGAACATCTAGCGCCTTCTGGGGGACAATTGTGGTTCTGCATTCTCACCACACCATCAAATTCAAAACAACTATTTTGCTGATGAACATATTGCTAAAGGTAAACGTCCAAGATGTTTTTACTGATGGTATGCTTTTGTTTATTTGATAAATTAACTGGATTTTAAACATTTTTAAGCAGTAGAGAATACACAAACCCAGAGACTGAAGATCATCAAGCATTAACCTGATCCAATACGTTTTCAGTAATTAATTAACCACACCTGATCTGATCTTTGAGGGCTTGCTGTTATAGATGCGTACTGTATATGGTCTATTCAGTGTCCCCTAATATACCATCGAACAAAAAGAACCCAAATGAACAACATGAAAATTCCAGAAGTTGCCAAACTTTTTTTGCTCTGCATGTAAGTGCAAGATAGAGACATCCTGCAAGTTTCATATCTCAGATCTTCAAAATTGGACTTGCTCATCAAACAAACATCTGATTCCACAGCTGAACTCCTCAGCTCATTAGTAGAGACTTGAAATAAGCTTAAGACGAGAGACGCTCAGACTGTGCAGTGCTGTAGCACTCCAAGAATGTGTTTTGGAAGAGCAGAGATAAACATGTATTAGCCTTGCATCATCGTTTATTTCTTAAGTCTGTGGAAACATGCAGCTGTAAGGCTGAAAGGGATGGAAAAATGGAAACTCAATGGAAAAACAAATTGGAAGAGTTCAAAGGTCAAAGCGGACATTAGAATTAGTAATAAAAGAAAAGGTAACTAACAAAATAGTTTATTAGCTCTGTGACTTGTTGGCTTGGTAAAGCTGATGAACCAAGAGCCGCACGAACCTGTTGCAAGTGTTAACAAGTGTCGAGTCCCGTGAAAGGGGTCCAGACGGAAAGTTTTGTTTTGTGTTTACCTTATAATTAAAGTTGTTGCACGTCTGCAAGTTCCAACTCAAAATAAGCGAGTTTTAGAAACTTGTACATTTAAGGTATCGTTCAGTAAAAACAAAACGCCATCAAAGAAACTTGACAACGAGAAACAAAACCTCACTGCTAGCTAGCGTGTTGGAAGTGTTCTTGCAGAGCAACACAAACTACATGCAGAAGTATAAATGCACGGCAATGCACAAAGAATGCGTCATGGGTCACGCTGATCACTCAACACAAGTATGAACCAGGCTTAATGCTGTGTTTACACCAGACGCGGAACATTTGCGCTATTTACATTTAAATAGACGCGTGGACATTTTGAGTTTACTCCCTTCATTCCTGCATCAAATTCACTTCACAATAGTTTAATGAACTGTTGTCTGTTGTCGGCAAGAGGATTTCCCCTTTGTTCACGTCCCAACAAGAAAAAGGTCCTGATTAGTTAATGCATGGCGAATGTCCGCTGAAGTTCAGATTTTCCAACTCGAGCGATTTGCACAAAGCGGCGTGAGTTGAGTGTTTTGCGCGTGTATCATGCTGCTGGATGTCTATAGGCTAAATTATACTTCTGTGTTGAGAGAACTCTGTAACCCACAGTGCATGTAGAAGTGTATTTACAGTATACTTCTGCATTCTGTTAGTGTTTATCTGACAATAACACTTGTAGCAGGTTCCTCTGTCTTGAATATTTTTTTTGCGGATGTTTTGAGTTGATACTGGAAATGGAAGAAATTGGCAGGAATCTGCAAACATACAACAATTTTAATCATGGAATCCGCAACAAAAAAAATCCATCTGACGCTCCACCATGGGACTTGACACTCTCCTGTAACATTCAGACCAATCACAGCTCTTGTTTTTTTGCTACTACATGTGGTTAAATTTTTTTGAGAGATGCGTGTCCGGCTAGGGTGAAGGGTATTTGACTGTGCAAAGGCACAGCCAGACCTGCTGTGCACTTTTAACGCAGAAGTATAAACCAAACTTAAATACTCTACGACAGGGACCCTCAAATCTGGCCCATGAGATCCACTCTACTCAGAGTTTAGCTCTAATCTGAATTAAACGCACCTAAACCTGCTAATCGATGTCTTCAGGATCTTTAGAAAATCACAGGTAGAGGAGTTTGACCAAACTTGGAGGTAAATTCTGCAGCTCGTTGGCCCTTCAGGCCAAGATTTGAGGAAGCCTGCTGTAGGAGAAGCCTTTTGGAATGTGACTGTATTAATGAGATGTTTGTTTTCTGTTTCTCTCAGGTGGAGAGTGAAAGTAACGTTCTGCAGGACGGCTCTCTGGTTGACCTTTGTGGAGCAACGCTGCTCTGGCGCACCGCTGACGGCCTTTTCCACACCCCCACACAGAAGCACCTGGAGGCCTTGCGGCAGGAGCTGAACGCAGCCCGGCCCCAGTGCCCTGTGGGCCTCAACACACTGGCCTTTCCCAGCATGCAACGCTGCAGTCGTGCCCTGAGCAACGTCCCTGCCCAGGAAGACAAACAGCCCTGGGTCTACCTTGCCTGTGGTCATGTTCATGGCTACCACGACTGGGGCCACCGATCAGAGCGGGAGTCCAATGCCCAAAGAGAGTGCCCCATGTGCAGGGCCGTGGGTCCCTATGTGCCACTCTGGCTCGGATGTGAACCAGCCTTCTACGTAGACACTGGTGCGCCAACACACGTCTTCGTACCTTGTGGCCATGTGTGCTCTGAAAAGTCCACCCGCTATTGGGCAGAGATTCCTTTGCCACATGGCACCCACGCTTTCCACGCTGCCTGTCCTTTCTGTGCTACTCAACTCAACCTGACACAAAAGTGGGCCAAGCTCATCTTTCAGGGGCCTATAGACTGAGAGCGTAGAGGAGGTCATGGGGAACTGGTGGATTGTTGTCTAATTGAAGGGGAAACCAGTATGCTGAAGGACTATTAGTAGGTGTCATTTTTAAGGAGCGACTCAAACCACAAGCTGTGAAGCTGCCCTTGATCTGCTGATGATGGAGAGCAGGTTTCTGTTCAGACAACCGTTGCCTTGGCGTATGACAGGAGGCGTAATTCCATCATCATTTCCTGACCTTTTTGTCTACAGGCCTTCAAGATGTCAGATCACACCAGCATTACCACATCACTCAGGATGTTTAATACAGTTCTCCAGGACACTCCGCTTTAGACCTGAGGTGCTGCATCTGGTTCCTGGTGATTGACTTTCCTGCAAAGTTTTGTTGCTTTAATAATTCTTCCGGTGATTTCCAAAGAACTCCATTATCTGAGCCTAGTGTGTCGGGTTGGAGCCCAAGTTGGAGTCCAAGGAGCAGCAGTGAACATTCATTATTCGTTAAGTAGTTCAGTGTGTGGGGATATTCCCAAAGGTCTGGATCCAATATCCCAAACTCTACTGAGTGCTTCTACAGGAATGGTTGGAGCAGATATTTGGGATCTGCAATACTAAAATGGTTTTCCAAAGATAAAAAGGGCGATTTTAAGTTTTTATGTTATCCTTTATACGAAGAGCTAGCAAGATTAACACTCCTTAATGATTCCACAGGAATGCTGATCAGACACAGTGGAAGCTTCATTTTGAAAATGAATTAGAGGAATTTTTGACATTTTTAGCCTAGTCCTCCTAGTGTTCACCTACTTCAGAGATGTCAAGTGTTTGGAAACTTACGTGTCTTTACATAAAATCTTTAAAGGTATTTTTATTCATACCGGGATAACCGGTAATAAGATTAACAAAGAATGCAGCCAAATATTTTTGGAAATGGCTGTAGAGTTGATAAATAAATGAAGTATTCCTGGTGATGTTTTCCCCTGTCCTAAAAATATTTCGGTACATATATTTTAGCTTCTTTAAATATCACCCATAGATGTTGGTGTACAATTAGAGGAGATCTAAAAAAATAGAGTATTCTGCAATCAAATGTGGATGACGATGATGGACTTTTCTGATATGCAGGAGCTTTTGAGCCTGTGATTCTTTTAATACCCATTTGCATTGGTCAAAAAATCTATTTCCACTTTTTTATAAGCTTGTTATGAGATTAACTTTTATTCCACTATTTTCTTAAAGATTTATACAGAGAAGGTTTCTTATGCCTGAAGACATTTTTACAAGGGTGTCGAGAAGATATTTTAGGCATACTGAAGAGGTATTTTTTTGAACCGCTTGCATTAACAGAGCCTTTTTAACTCACTGAGAAGTATTTTACTACACAAAAGCCCATGTACAGTTTGTTTTAAATCAGATACTAATATATTTATTCAGTTATGTACTTTACCATGCGGTATAGGTGTCTGTATGAATGTATCCGCTTGAACTACATCTGGTCATCACTCTTTTGTAAGGGCATGCTGCATCTGGATACTTAACCAGGCGCTAGTCATGTTTTTTTGTTTAATTCATACACTGTTTCTGGAGAGCCACCTTCCTGCAGATTTCAGTTGCTACCCATATCAAACACACCTGAACCAATTAATTAGGAACTAAACACCACGTGATAATTACAAGCAGGTGTGTTTGATATGGGTTGCAACTGAAATCTGCAGCAAGGTGGCTCTCCAGGAACAGGTTGGCCACCCCTGCTCTAGGGCAATGGTCTCAAACGCTACAGCTCTGCATAGTTTAGCTCCAACCACCTCCAACTCACACCTGCTTGATAACACCTTGATTAGTTGGATCAGCTGCGTTTAATGAGGGTTGAAGCAAAACTGTGCAAAGCTGCGGCTCTGCAAGAATCAAGCTTGAGACCTGTGCTCAAGGCTTTTGTCTATGTTTGTTTGTTTGTTTGTTTAAAAAAAAAAAAACAAGACTCCCAATGTTATTTTCAGACCCAGAGATGTTAAAGGAACACTGTCATCTTGGATTTCATTTGTAAATAAATTCAATTTATTAGTTTTGATATTCAAGCCGTTTTTGTGGTATACATGCGTTTAGATGGGCGTTTTATTTTATTAAAGTTGTTAAAATTGTCACACCAAATGCAAAATGAACTGGGTTGGGGAGTATATTTACTTGGGCGAAGCTACTGTTTTATTAATGATGCTGGTAAAAGGCTCTCTTCCATGTGGCGTTAAGTTTAAAAATGGCCAAACATGTTTTGAAAATGCCAAAAAAGGAATTTAGGAAAGGGGTTCTTTGTACTTTTTGTCATTTCAAGTTGCAGGGAGCACAATTCATGTGTAAATGATTGTAAATTTCAATTGTGCAAAATTAGGCACAATAAACGTTACACTACAGGACTTCTTAAGTGTTTTGATTTGCAGCTTTGGAACATCAACAATGTTGTGGGAGTTTACTGTGTAAGTTTATTTTTCTATGTGAAAGAGTCGACGTTACTTTGCTGCACACATGCATTACAAGTATCATATTGATCATCTACAATGATGTTTTGATTGTTTAACATGTAAAAGTGCATGTCTTTCTGTTTTTGTTGTTGTTGTTTGTTTGTTTGCAGATTCTAGCAAGGCAGTTAACCCTGTACCATACAGTGGCTGAACAAACTCAGGATTACAGGATTAGTTTTGGGTTGACAAAGGCAAACCAGTGCAGCCAGGCTTTGTTGGTATCAAGACACCCTGATTATCAAATCTGGCTATGATCCAGAGTTCAGGAAGTGCGTGCAGATGTAGGTGCAGCATTAGTAGCAAACAGCCGATAACATGTCTTCAAACAAAGATATTGTCATTGACTTCTTGTCAGAGCATTAGTGCAATTCACAGGCAAAGATAAAGCTTCTGGAAGTGCTTTGAAATGTGCATTTGTTTTTAATGCAATGTTTGTATTTTACAAATGTCACTTTTTGATTTTAAACTCACTGGTTATTGCTTAAATTGCTTATGTCTAATGGATTAAACAATTATAATGCTCCTACTTCTATAATAATAATCCTTAGATGTGGCGTTGTATCATTCCATCATAACAAGTTCATGTCAGCAGCTCCTTTATAAATATATTTACCAGGAAGTTTTTCACAGTATACATAAAAATGCATACAATTTTGAACAAAACAATACAGATATTAATATTATTGAAACTTATAACTTACATTTTGTGGGGTATTTTTTTATTTATTTATTATTATTTTTTTAAAATGTTTGACCTAATCTCAACAGAAATATAAAGATAGGGTATGGTAGTAGTATGGTAATAATATACATACATCACACACACACACACACACACACCAATAGTGTTTAATTTTGACCACTGTTTTGCCAGTGAGGGCATTTGAATTCGAACACAGCAAATGAGAGACGTTTTGAAGTGGGCGGGGCAGAGTCTAGAGAGCAAGCGATTGGTCAGAAGATTCATTAAGAAATGTTTGTTCAAAAATTGTTGATGCATTAGGCAGAAATGACAACCTGCAGGATTAGGATGTTTATACCTTCTAAACGTGAATATTGTCACTGTTTTGGAGGACACTGGCTTGCAGGTATGCTTTATTTTTTTTAAACTGTATATACATTTCATGCCTTTTAAAAGCGCAAAGAATTAAAATAAAAAAATGTATAAAGCAAGATGAAAAGGATCATCCATAAAAGAGAACAGCTAAAAGAATACTGTGTAAATAATTAGGTAACACTTTATAATAACTATGCACTATAAATCATTTATTAAGCGTTAGCAAATAGTGAATTCATTAAAGCATTAACTCTACATTAATAGATGTTAGTCATCAGTTTATAAATGCAGATGCTTTATTCTTGACTTATAAGCGCATTTTTAATGTGTGTAATAATTGTTCTTTCATATTTTGTTATTGATTCATTTTTCATGACTATATGAAGTATTGCATATTTACAAATCAGTTGTATTTTTAGACAAGTTTTTTTTTAAGATTATGCAAAATGAGTTCGTAAATGATTAATAAACTATTTAAATCAACATTTGTTGATTATTATTCAGGCATATATTGGTTAATTAGTATGTTAATAAATACTTAAACTAACAGTTTTGTTACCTAATCTAATGTGAGGACAATATGCCTTATAAATCCCTTATAAATGACAATGAAAGGCTCAGTATCAAATGAACAATAATATTTGCAATCTTATCTAAAAAATAAAATTACTGTGTAGTTTAAACATGGCTAAATAACAGGAGTGTTAAAATATAACATAAAACTGGATTAAACAACAACAATATAATTAACAATATAATATGATACAACATTTTAATGTTATTTAGCTATCTTTAAAGTGCTCAGTCATTTTATTTCACACAAGGCTGCAAATAATTATCTTTCATTTGATATAGGTGCATATGTGTATCTTCAAGTGAATAAAAATTAATAAAGTCATTTATTTTCTTTTTTCCTGTTTAACTGAGCCTTTGGTCATTTATAAAGCAAAAATAGTCCTCACTTTAGATTAGATCACAAAACTGGATAAAGTTGAGTTAAAGTATTTATTAACTTAATAATAATAAGAATTATAAATGTTAATTTGAATAGTTTATTAATCATTTACTTGCGCATTCTGAATGATCCTAAAAACTAGAACCTTCTCTCTAATTACTGCTTTCTAATTAATGCAATACTTCATTTAGTGAAGAAAACATAATTATTATTATTTTTTTCCGGCAGTTAGCTCTCTGCAACTCTCTTATGGTCGCCCACTAAAGCTAAGCAGGGCTGCACCCTGCAGTACCTGGATGGGAGACCACATGGGAAAGCTAGGTTGATGCCGGAAGTGGTGTTAGAGGGGCCAGCAGGGAGCCCAACCTGCGGTCTGTGTGGGTCCTAATACCCACAATATAGTGAAGGGGACGCTATACTGATCAGTGAGCGCCGTCTTTCGGATAAGACATTGAACCGAGGTCCTGACTGGCCTTTGTCCATCATGGCCTCCTAACCCTCCCCATATCATAATTGGCTTCATTACTCTGTCTCCTTTCCACCAATCAGCTGGTGTGCTGTGTACGGTCTGGCGCAAAATGGCTGCCGTCACGTCATCCAGGTGGATGCTGCACACTGGTGGTGGATGAGGAGATTCCCCCCTATGTGTAAAGCGCTTTGAGTGCCTAGAAAAGCGCTATATAAATGTAAGAAATTATTATTATTATTATGAAATACAATCATTAATCACATTATACATCCGCTTATACATTGAGAATAGAGCATTTGTATCTGCAGTTATAAACTACTAACATCTGAGAGTTAATGCTTAACTGATAATGAATTCACTATTTGCTAATGCTCAATAAATTATTTATAGCGTGTAGTCAGTACAAATTGTTACTACTTGGTTTATTTTCCCAGAGATGTGTTGCGGCTGGAAGGGCATCTGCTGCACAAAGACTTGCTGGATAAGTTGGCAGTTCATTCCGCTGTGGCGACCCCAGATTATTAAAGAGAATAAGCCGACAAGAAAATGAATGAATGAACTTAGGTTATGAATTATTGACCCTCGTGTCTTCTGATCTCTTGAGACCTTCGTTTATCTTCAAAACACAAAAGAAGATATTTTCAATTAAATCAGAGAGCTCCCTTATCCTCCATATAGACAGCTACAGGCCTGAGACCCTCATAGTTTAGAAAATGAACCAATAACATTGTCAAAACATTTACGTGACTTCAGTGGTTTAACTGTGATCACACAAAGCTCCAGGAACACATTCATGCGGCAAAAAACTATTTTGTTTGTCTTTTTCGTCGCTCATATTTCTACTCATATTTCCCGTAGTAAATGCGTACCCTGTTCACCCATTTCTTATGCATCAGATCAATTATTTGTACAGTTTTTTTTTTTTTTATATTTAAAAAAGTATTATTTTATTATTTTTCTAAAGTATTCTTGGA